AGACTGCAGGTTGTTAATAAGCCTTCCTCTAAGCTTGATGCCAAGTTCTTCCTCATATACTCCTACTTCTCAGATCATAATAGTACGACTTCCCCGCCCCCCAAAGCCATTGGATGATTAAATGAGATAAGGTAAAGTTTGGGGCAAATAATATACATCTGGAATGATTATCTTCATTATCAGTGACTTGCATCTGCCTGCTGTGCTTTCTGGCCCCATTCACCTTCCCTGCCCCAAGAATCTTTTCCAGATTCCTCCTCTCGGAATTTCTTTCTGCTGCTCTTCTAACACTGTTGGAATGTCTATTGTGTTATATGAAATAAATCATGCATTAATGTAACGTATGAAAGTAATTATAGTTGCTTATGTGGTTTCTGCTTCATCCACCAGACCGTGAACTTCTTGAAAGCAAAGTCTGTGACTTAGTGCTCTCTGTATTGCATCTCCTATCAAGATAACTTCTGAGATGCATGAGAGACCTAGTTCAACGTGATAGAAGCAAAGAGATGATGATTATAATGGTGATGGTAGTGGTAATATGGTGTGATAGTACAATGATGGTGGTGGTGTATGCTATAGTGGTGGTGGTAGTTGTAGTTGATGGTAGAAGCGGTAGTATCAAAAGGTGGTATAGTGATGGTGGTGGTGGTAATAGTGATTGATAGTTGTGGTGATAATGTAAGATATGAGAATAATCGTTTATAATTTATCAAGGGGTCATGAGGGTGGGAGGGGCAAAAAGAGGAGCTGATACCAAGGGCTCAAGTAGAAATAAAATGTTTTGGAAAGGATGATGTCAACATATGTACAAATGCGCTTGATACAACGGATGTACAGATGGTTCTAAGAGCTTTAAGAACCCCCAATAAAATGATTTATTAATAATAATAATAATGGAAGCTGGGGGGGCTTACTTGTTAATTATCTTTGCATAATTGTCAGTGGGAATTCTCTTCCCAGTTTAAGCCAAGTAATGGAAACAGAGCAAACAAATCTGTCTGACTGAGAGAGGTGATCGATCAACTGGCAAGTCAGATGGCCATACTGAGAGCACCACTCCATATGGCTCTGCCAAGCGCCGCAGGAAACAAAACGTGCACAGGATTCGAAGTCGGGACTAGAAAAGGACTCAGAGAGAATCATCCCCATCCATCAAGCAATTTATAGTTTTCAGTCATTAGTGGGTTTGTCTCTTAAGTTTTCTAGTTAAGAGCCCTGTGAGGAAAGTGGCCACCATCTATTTCCTAGACAAAGAAACCGAGTCTTGACATGATGAAGAATTAGGGGTGGGGTCACATGAGTCAAATACAGATGTGGTGTTGTGACATAGAACAGTCACTCCTGATCCCTAGGCCTTAGTTTTGTTACCTGCAATAGAAATATGTGGATCTGCAAAATAAACAAGATATGATTTTACTATTCTGTACTCATAAATTACAGGTCACAGAACGCCTCTTAAAATATATCCCTTGCATTTAGAGTAGGATTTACGTCTGGCCCTATTTCAAAGTCAAAGGGGACCATATTTCTCCATTGTACCAATTAAGAGACTTCTTTGCGACTTTCAATCCTCCACGATTGCTTGAGCCATTTCCTTGAAATTAATTTTCTATGTATACCAGCTTAAACAAAAAATGTATTGTTACCAGGCTCCAATAGGCATGAGTGGGTTTATCCAAGCAAACCACGTTTAAGCATGAGTCTGCACCTGTGGAGGGCTGCAGACAAGTTCGGTAATACACTTGTCTTGGTCTTGTTAGGTCGCTTGTTACCCCCCCACCCCCCGGACCCTAATAGGGTCTCTTGATGGACAGCAACCCTTAAGAGCAGAGCAAAACTGCCCCCTGTGGATTTCCAAGGCTGTAAATCTTTGCAGGAGCAGAAAGCCTCAGCTTTTCCCCACAGAACAGCTGGTGGCTTTGAACAGCTAACCTTCTGGTTAGTAACCCCATGTGTAACACCTTATACCACCAGAACTTGCAGATAAAGAAAGAAAGACCAAAATAGTAAGGAAAAAACTACAACAAAAGCATCCTGTTCACTGCCGTCTAACAATCAAAGATGGGGTCTAGTTTAGAGCCCGGGATTTCCAATTTTCTAGTTCTCCCAAAGAAAACCTACCAACCCCAAACTTATGGAGAGATGTTATAATGGCGAGTTCACAAACCAGTAAAATAATAATCAGTAAGAAGCAGAATTGAGATTCAAAACCGCCTCTTTCTGACTTTTCACAATGGCAAAATTCTTTCTCTCTCACCTGGAACCTGTTTTACTCACAAGCTAAATTAAAGGCCATACAAAGTCATGTACATTAAATAGCAGTTGTACAGAGCCGAGCAAGTCCTCTGGGTTTGGAGTGTGTGAGGGTCATTGACCAACAGGTAGAGGGAGAAGATTTACATGTGAATAAAATTCTCCATGATAAATAATTTCCCTCTGCTTTGTTTAATCAAAACCACAGCCCAAAGTATAATTGAGGGATCATTCCAGCTAAAGCAGAAAGCATAATTTTTTCCCATGGGTTCACCGAGTCAAGCCTGAAGGCATGCCACTCATGCAAGAAAACAGTATCCAACAGTGCCCGATGCCATCCAGTGTACACCCTGGTTCCGAAGTCGAGGCCACGGCTGCTTCTCAAACATCCAGAGTCCTCCCCTCCCTTCTCTGAGACTCACTCACCATGTCAGGAAATGGGTCTCAGGGCAACTGCGTTCCTCAAATAACTCAAAGAGCCAAGGGTGCTCAGATGGAAGAATGGCTCCATTCTGAGCCGGAAGCTGTCTAGGAACTCCTTTGACGCCTATGGGATTTTACCTCCTATATGCCTGATCCCCAACCATGTTATTATAAAGGAAATGCTCCTAAACACCCTCCTTTCTTTTAAAAAAGAAAAAAAATTTGTCAAGCGACTCTCCATGTTTCCCATGGAGTTCCTAATAACTCTCCATACTAGCCTCACGGATTTTCACCCCATCCCTCAAATGGGACATACAGGCTCCTTCATCGGGCATGTGCAGGGATTGGGCCTTCCATGCGGCTTGTGCCCACACTTCTCCCACAAGCCAGTCCTCCACATTCACTGTATGCACGTGTGTCTGGAAGACTCAGTTTACACATCACCTCGTTAAGGGAGCCTTCTTTGCCCCATAGGACCTGCTATCTCCATTCAACCCACTGTCCTGGACTTCTCGCTGAGACTGTATAGTCTGCGTTTACAACTCTGCAGAGTGACCTTATTGGTATCTGCCTTCTCCACAAACCTGTAAACCGCATGACGATGAAAACCATGTCCATCTGCCATCCTCTTAACTTAAGAAACTCACCCTCCCCGCCCTCCTTGCCATCCTATAGACAGGACAGGGTAGAAGTTCCCTGTGGGTTTCTGAGACTGTAACTCTTTACGGGAGTAGAAAGCCCAGCCTTTCTCCCTGGCATAGGGCAAGTGCTTAAGAATCCTCACTGAATAAATGATCGAATTAACTATTGCTTCCAGGTCTCCTGAAGGGAGAACAGTGACATCTAGTGGCAACTTTCACACTTTTGGGATTTCCCTAAGAACATGCTGTGCAGTGCCTCAGAAAGAAAGACCCCTGTGGATTTGGTCAGGCCCAAGGTAGTGAATCTTGACCCAGGGAAAATCTGGCTCTTGGACAAAGAGAAAAGGAATCCTATTCCACTCGCTGTCACACTTACCAAGAACACATCTCGCAAAAGCCCTGGGAAGTAACCGTTACAGCTGAGAGTGTAGGTCAGTTGCAGGTCAGGAGAAACAGGACCAGAGCTGCAGGCCTTGGGACCATTTACACGTAGCCAGGGAATGGGGACATTCAGATCCTCAGTCCCTAAGACAGAGACCGCCTCCACCCAGTCTCCAACATGCTGCAGTAGCCCCCTGACGGACTGCCCAGCATCCACTCTTCAGTTTCCACAAGCCATTATCGCGCGTGTGTCTGTGTGTGCTGTCAACTTGGCTGTGACCACAGTGACCTTATATACAATGGAATGAGACACTGCCTGCTCCTTTGATAACCTCACAACTGTTACGTTTCAGCCCGTTTGGTGCCTCTACTATCCCAGTCCACCTCACGTGCCGACTCTCTCGGTTACGAAGCATGAGCTCCTCTTTCGGGGACTAGGCCCTCCTGGTAACATGTTAAAAACCTCGCCATCTTTCCTTCTACGGCCCATTCTGGCTTACTTCTGCCAACACGGAAGTAAACTGTGTGTATGCTGGAGGTTGCAAAAAGTTCTTGGAAAAGCACCACTCTCATCTAGTTCCGTTTTCCATGAACTTTTAGAAAACGCTATACATGTGTGTATGCACACACACACATGCATACACACACACAAACACAGATATATACAGGAGCTTCCAAATTTTTATGGAGAAATGGAATTGAGAGATCATGGAATTTTTCCATGAACTTTTCAGAGGTCCCTTTGCAGAATGGTTGTCAGCTTGGAGACCTCGGCACATAATTAGCTAGTTCATGGCTCCAGCTCATTGTTGAACCACGTGCCATGGAGCTTCTTTCATCGCTTCCATTAGCTAGTTTTATAGATTTAATAAACTCTCCCAAGTACACCACGCAAAACTCTAGCCAGCATGTTGAATGTGGACGCCCCATATATGTCCCCGTGCCGTTGCCCTGCTTCCCCCTCACTTTGAGTCCTATGTGCTCTAGCTTCTGGTTCTCCTTTTGATCGTCCTGACCGCGAAGCAGTTCAGCATTCAGCTGCTGATCAAAGGTTCCGGGTTTGAACCCGTGCAGTGGCTCTGGGGGGAGAAAACCCTGTCCTCAATCAAAATGATCCCCAAGAAAGCTCTAGGGGGCAGTGTTCCTTTGTCACATGGGGTCACAAGGAGTCAGAGTTGATTTGAAGGCCCTCGAGGACAACAACAGCATTGTTGAGCTGTATGGAGCCGTGTGTGTGTGTGTGTGTGTGTGTGTGTGTGTGTGTGTGTGTGTAAGTTATTAAGTGCCGGGCCGGGCGCTCACCTCCTTGGTGCCGTTGTCTTGGATGAGGGTATAGAGCGGCATCACACGGTTGATTTCCAGCAGCACTGGCGTGGGGCTCAGCTGCTCCTTGCCTGGCCGGCGACACAGGTGGCAGGTGGATGGGCACCGGCCCTTCTCCTCGCAGCGGATCTCCACCCCGGAGATGAGCTGGTCATCTGATAGCATCTGGGCCGTCAACAGACCCGAGAGGTAGGTGATGAAGGGCATGGACTGTAGCTCCTCCTTGCTGCCCAGCTCCGTGGTTTCTGGAGAGGTAAGACGAGAGATGCAGGAGAGGTCAAATCATGGACACGTGCTCAGTAGCTGGTTACCTGCTGGGAGGGAGAAAAGATGACAAATCATTGGTTCTTTGTGCCTTTAAGAGAGGACTGACCTCATGGTTCAGAGAGCAAGAGGGTGCCCTGTTCTCCTTCAAAGTCACTGCCATGAGCTGATGCTGACTTACTGTAATGCTGTAAAATGGCTTAGAACTGCCCCACTGAGCTTCCGAGGACAGGAGAACTGCTCCTGCCAGTTTCTGAGACTCTAACTGCTTATGAGAGAAGAAAGCCCTGCCTTGTTCCTGAGGAGCTGGATGGTGGATTTGAACTGCTGACTCTGTGGATCGCAGCCCCGTGTGCACCCACCATGACATCAGGGCTCCTTCTTGTTCTGCCATTCACTTTAAATATCCCCTTTCCTTCTCCAGCCTTTAGTTCTGACATGAGTAAAAATGGGCAGACTAGAAGATTCTCCAAAGGCCATGCAAGACGTAAACAGAAAAGGGTCTTGTTTGCCCAACTAGAAAGTCTTTCTCTGTCAACGTACACAAATCTTGTGTTTCCTATTATTTGTATTTTATTTTATTGGTTTGTTTGCTCATTTTGGGTGAGTGTGGGTGTGTGCGTGTGACTGTGTCCTTTAAAACCTTGCTCCCCGGGGAGGGAGGGGGGAAAATGAGGAGCTAATGCCAGGAGCTTAAGTGGAGAGCAAATGTTTTGAGAATGATGAGGGCAATGAATGTACAAATGTGCTTTACACAATTGATGTCTGTATGGATTGTGATAAGAGTTGTATGCGCCCCTAAGAAAATGATTAAAAATAAATCAATAAAGCCTTGCTCCGACCGATGCTTTCCATATAATGGGGAAACGAGTTTTGGAGCATTTCTATTTCAGTTCCGTGTCTGCTTCACTATAGCTTTGCAACCTTGGGACTATCTCTTAATATCCAGAAAGCTTCGGTGATTAATTCTGTAAGAAGGGGTGAGTTGGACCAAGCAAATTGTCCTGCTATGGATGATAAATGAGGCAGAAGGGGGCCGAACAATCTGGAAAAGCATAGATGTGCAGGAAATGATTTCTTTGATGGCCCGTTATCTTGGTTTTGTGGCTTTCTTCTTGTGCCCTGTGAGCTTGGACTCTTGACTGTACACTCCATTCCTTGCCTCCCTTTCTCAACCAGTACAACTCGTATTGCCCAGGTCTGTACCCCACTTGCCCCATTCCTCTGGCCTAGAACAACTGACTCCACCCCCACCCCCACCCCCACCCCCCACTGAACGTCTCCAGATATTTCCCATTGATCAGGGCCCATGCCAATGCCAGTCATTTTGGCTAGTCTTTCCTTGTTGTCCCAAGCCTCTTCTCAGAATAAATATTACTCCTTATGAGATCTCATCTTTCTGAGCATGATTTCCTTTCTCGTTTTCTGCTCATCTCTACAACCACAGGATAAGCTCCTGGGAACCAAGGGTCATATTCCCACTCCTGATCTCCCTGCAGTGCCTAGCAGGGTGGGAGGGATGTACTTGAGACGCAGCAAAGAGGACGGTTCTGGACCTCTTAATGGATTGAGCCTCCTTCATGATCTGCTCTAGAGGTTCCCTAATTCCTCAGTAGGCAGAATCTGGGCACCCAAGAAGCATCTCATCTACCTGTAGCGAACGGGAGGGAAATGGACAAGCAGAGCCCTAAGCCCCTATCTCAGCTTCAAATAAAGCAGCTCACTTATTGACTGGCCTTCTCTCTAAGATGCCCTTGGAAGAAAGGTTCAGCACCAAAAAGTTCGAAGGTGATTTGTACAATTCAGAAGGTACTATTTACAGGATAGTCAAGGCTAAGGGCATCCTCAAGGATGGGCCAGGGATAATCCAGGTGCCAAATGAGATGCCTCTGTACTAAAGTACAGAGCATGGTCCAGATGGTGAAGCCAAGGCAAGCAAAGGTCGGTCCTGGGCACTGAGGTCTAAGAGAGAAAGTCAGGCTGCCTCCTGTCTTTATTGTCAGCTTGCAGTGACATGCAGCTGATCTGGAAATGGGCTTGCCAATTAGAAATACAAATAAACGCAGCCTTCATTCATTACCCTCTGGGCCCTGGGGCCTGAGATCTGGGCTCCACCTTTTCTGTCTGGCTGTCAGCAAATGCTTATGAGCATCAGATCAAAGGCTCTGGATGAGGAAGACAAGACAGATTCCAGCTAACCAATCCTTCAGAGGGATTAGCGAAGGGTAGTTACTAAGATAAACAAAACAAGGCTGTGAAGAAGGCATCTCCGCTGCTGGGAACACAGCCTACATACAGACATGTCAAAAGAAGAAGACGATGACAAATTCTGGAACTGCAGGCCAGGGCCATTGTGCTGCAGAAGGGTGACTTTGAGCCTGGGAGCAAACAACCTCCAGGTCTAAAAGGTCAGGGTGCAGCCAGAGCTGCGAGGATGTTAGAGACCAGCTAGCCCACCTTCTAGCCTAGAGGTCATAAAAAAATGACCCCAGAGAAAAGCTATACGTTTCATCGCTGCTATATTGTGCCCTGACTGGCCGTCTTCTCCCCGACCCTTCTGTAAGGGGATGTCCAATTGCTTACAGATTGGCTTTGGGCCTCCACTCTGCACTACACCCCTGAGTTAGTTAATTGTGCCAGCCTGGCCGATAATCACATGTGGTGCTGGTTGAAAGGCGGAGGGATAAATGAGTGGTGAAGCCTCGCCTTTCTAGTTCTCGGGTCTCTTGTTTTGTGATGGTTGCATTGGGTGCAGCTGCCTTAGCAGTTCCCTGCTTCAGCTTGCAAGATTGACTTCCTACAAGACATCCCCAAGGAGAAGCCGCATGGATCTATCCCAATGCAGCCCTGGGTGCTGGAGCAGCCGTGTGGAGACCCTTGCCAGTGCTGAGATGCTTACACGTTCACGGACTCAGCTTTCCTCCTGCAGTCGGCATCATTGCCTCTGTTTTGTGAGGTGGAGGACTTTGTGGACTGGTGTTGGGTTAATGGGTTAATGTTGGACTTGTGGGCTTGGGCAGCATTGGGTTGGGATGTTTTCGTGATGCACCTTTTCTTTACATAAAACTCTCTCTTATACGTGAGTCGCCGTGGATTTGTTTCTCCAAAGTACCTAGACTAATACAACCCCTCTTTCACATTATGATTTTTTGTTCTACCTTACAAATCTGGCTAGACCAGAGCACATACATGGGTATAGATAAGAGCTGGAAACACAGGGAATATAGGACAGATAAACTCCTCAGGACCAATATTGAATGTGGCCATATTGAGGTGGTGGGAGAAGCCAATCACAATGACATACCTTTAACCCCCTCCCAGGGGGATGGACAACAGACAAGGGGGTTGGGGGAGACATCGGACAGTGCAAGACATGAAAAAATAACAATAATTTGTAAATTATCAAGGGTTCATGGGGGAGGGAGGGGGAAAATGAGGAGCTGATTCTAAGGGCTCAGGAAGAAAGAAAATGCTTTGAAAACAATGATGACAACATATGTACAAAGGCGCTTGAGACAATGGATGGATGTATGGATTATGATAAGAGTTGTATGAGCCCCAATAAAATGATCTTTAAAATAAATAAATAAAACAATGACACACAACCCCCCCCACAGGCCAAATCTAACATGCTTTCGTCAAGAAAACTGTGCTGGGATACAGCCACACACCCCTATTGATGCAGCATCCATGTCTACAATGGCAGAGTTAGTCCTTGCAGCGGAGTTCTACGGCTCTTCAACCGGAAGCTCTTCATGAGCTAGCCCTTTACTAAAACAGGCCCACAGCCTCTGCTCTAGCCCCGTGGGGACAAAGGAGCTAAGAGGAAGGCCACATCCGAGGTCATACAAGGAATATGGTAGTATGGCGGATGAGTTGAAATCAAATTTTAAAAAGTGTGTGTGTGTGTGTGGGGGGGGGGGAATCAAATAGACCCTCAGTCCCCCTGGATTGTGAATTAAGAAGAGAAAATAGAGAGGGCAGCTTTTCTCCACAGAACATCATTTCAAAAGCCGTTGAAAGAATACACTTTGGTAAAGGCCAATTGTGCACAACTCTCTCCCCATTTAAATAAGGCGAAACAGCAGCCCAATGACTTTCTAAAGTCACCCAGTGAGTGAGCGAGCGGATCCTATCAGCACACGTCTCCAGTCTTCTGATGACCAATCTATCACTTAAAACTACTGTCATTTCTGTGTTCAAGCACAGATGACGTGCCCCTCCTCGCACCTTGCCATATGCACATAATTTAATTGGGAAGAAATATAACCTGGTTGATGGGAGTAAAAATCTCCTTGATCAAATCAACAAAACAAAAAATATCACAAATCTTGCTAGTCATCGAGTTTAAGGTAAAGCTATGCATGGAATGACAAAATGATCTGTAGATCTCAGCTGTTCTGTTCTGTCCAGAATATTATTGTGGAAATTCTCAACAAGTGGGACGGAAGGTGGGGTCAAGTGGGAAGTGCCCCACTAGCTAAAAGCCCAAAGGCCAGGCTGAAGAGTACCTTCAGCAACAACACCACATTCACAGCTGAGTGCAGGGATTGATTTTGCAGTAGGAGGCTTGGGGGTGGGGTGGGGATGTCATCCAACCTAGCACCATCTTTTAACAGGTGAAGAACCTGAAAGCTTAACCAGGGAAAGGACTTACTTCTAAGTGGCATACACATGTATTAACAATAATCCTGCCCTAAATTATGAACTAGCAGAGTCACAGCAAGGAAAAGTCCATTAGCCAGCCAGTCTATTATTCCCAGGTAGACATTACCATTGTGAAAGTTAATTACTTTTGAGTCAACTCCACCCTGTGGCTAGACTCATCTTCTTAAAGGGCAAACCTGATGTATCTTTCCTGCTTAAGACTCTTCAATGGCACCTGACAACTCTTAGGATAAAAAACCAAAGTCCTTAACATGGCATGCTGGAGGCCCCCGGGCCTTCTCAAGCCAATCACTAGCTCACTCCCCACCCCTCT